TGGCCAGACTGAGGAAGGCTCAGAACGATTACGAGATGTACGAAAATAACGAAATGTCGTACATGCCGCAAGTGATGGACCCTGTCGAGACCGTGATGCAGAAGAGGCAGAGGCAGAGGGAATACATGCCTTTGGAAAGCGATGGAAATGCTATGGAGAATCCCGAGGTAATTTAAGAATTTAAAATCAGAATTTTAGGATCCGCCATTGTTACGATGTGCTCGAAAAAAAAAAGGATTTCTTTTCTTTTTCTTTTTTTTCGAAATGAAAAAGAAACATGGTTTTTATTTACTTTTTAAAGATGACAGATGCGAAGAGTTCTCGTTTGACAACGCGTGCACGAGCAGCCTCGAAGGCGTCGGAATTTTACGAGTTTGACATCTTCGATGGACGAAAAAATTTGGTTTACCTGGCACCCGTTCGAGTTACCTACAAACACGCGCCAACAATGGGTTACAGAGGACCACTAGCGCCACTCGGCCCAGATGGCCGCGTGGTGGATACACCGGAAGTGATGAGGGCGCGCGAGGCGCATATGAAGGCACACGCTCGCGCTGTAGCACTCTCCACTCAGAACGATCTTTACTATTAAAACGAGATAGGATTTCTTTTCTTGATTCGATGATATCTCTGGTACGTACGTATGTGTTATTAAACCGTTTTAGTTTTGGTATTTCTGTTTAATTAATTCTGATAAATATCTTTATGAAAATATAAGTAAGGAAATATTAAATTTTTTTTGTGAAACGATAGATATTTTTACTACGTTTCTTACGTTTTTTACGTTTTTACCCGAACATATTCGAATTTATTGTAAAATTATATGCGTATAATTGGATGCCACGAAAATTGGATCGCTCGATTTTCTTAAAATAAAATCGTTCAATTTTCCGTCGAATTGTTCGTGCAATGTAACTTTTGCAGCAATTATTATTGAGAGCAGATTGTGTCGTACCTGATTTTTTACATATTTTTTTGACAGTTGGGATTTTCGACGGTTTGACGAAAATTGAACGAAAACTTCTCTCTCCCCCCCCTCCGATACCAGTTTTGTAAATAATATTACTTATATACACTCAACTTGAATCCATTTATTTTACGTAAAATAACCATTTTGTTGTTTCACATTGCTATTGCTGCAATTTGAATTTTATTGCCATACAATTGTTAATGAATAATATATGTGATTTTAGATTTTTAGATTTTTAAGATAATATATATTTATGATGGTAGATATTAAGGTACCTTGTGAAAAAATGAATCGTATGTTACTTAGAAAATTTGTCATTCTTGCCACCGAAGTGTATTCTATATTTTTTACTGTCTTTGCAGTGGAATAAAATATGAATGTGTCTCTCGTTTACACCTCTTATTCTTTCTCCCTTTTCTCCTACTTCCTAGTCTATATTTTCCTTTGATTTATGATCGTTTCTTTAGGAAGTCACGTGGGTACATCGCGATCTCTCATCCCACATTATTCGGATTAGTCACGCTAGAATGTAGATGAATAAGCGAGCAGGTGGGCGTCGTCCAATGAGAAATCGAAAGGAAGATTGGCCTGTATCTTGCATAATGAAAATTCCGGACGTTAAGAGTTCCCTGACATTAACCAGAATTTGCCATTATTCAAGTTTGTCTTGTTCTACATGTAGATGTAGAACGCATTTATATACCAATATACAGGATATTTAGTTACGAATGTAAAAATTTAAAGAATGATTCTTTTCACTAGCGAAATAAGACGAAAATCAAGAATAAAAATATTGCGAATTTCTTTTTTAATTATTAATTTGCTTTCTTTTTTAATTATTAATAATGGAATATCCATGGAAACATGAGCGATCACTTTTATAAATTTTCGAAGAATCCTTCTTTAAATTTTCGATCACCTACAAATATAAATTCTCCATAAATTTATAGAAATTACAGTGAATGGTAAATTATTTCTTTTCGATAAAATCCTATTAAATCGCTAAGTTTTAATTTTATATAAGAATAATATTAACTATAAAACCATGATATGCATTCGTTTCGTCCATTTCAAAAACCCTCTCGTGTCGCCCAACCTCAACTCGATACCCAGTGACCCGTGATCCCATTGCTGTCCAGACGCAATCTTTAAGACACGATCCTTCCACACACGATCGCCTAATCTCCGCTACACGTGGCAATAGAAAACCTCTCGACCTTCCACACCCCAAACGTTCACTTCCTTATGCGGACAACGGTCCGATTTCAATATTCACCATGCTTAAGCAGTCAATTACGAGCGATCGCGCGGATAACGTTACTGATCCAGATCTAGGAAACGGTCCGCAGTGTCTGCTACCGACTTTGCCTTGCACTTATAGTCACCAGACATCGTGGAACCGGTTCTGTCCGTGACTCGGCCAATGCGTAGACGCTGGCTACCAGCAAGGACGTGTTTGATCGAGCTTGACGAGGAATGTATTAGATTTTAGATTTAGAAAAAATACCGTGTGCTGTTTCCTTAATGGGATTTATATCCGTGGGGGTCGTCGACGGTGCACCTGTAGTCGTACAAAGTGTTAATAGGAGGTTAAAGTAAAATTATTGCTGTTGTTGGTGAGATTTGGTGAAATTTGTTCGTGTTTGAGGAAGTGTGATAAAGGATCGATTTATGTTTTATGAAGTCCTTGATTCACGAAAAATTGGGTTTGCTTGAATTTGAAAATTTTGTATTAATTAAAAATTTATTTTTTTAATAATTGGATTGAGAAGGTTTGAGCTAGTTTGATTGGATTTGTTTGTAGATTTAGGATGGAATTTTGTTTGTGTTTGACAAATTGGATGACACATAGAAGATTTGATTCTTTGTTAAAGTATTTTGAAATTTCGTGGAATATTTGATCGTGTTTGCATAAGTTTGAGTAATCTCGTAAAGATTGAATTTTCTTCTAAACTTCTTTGAAATTGAATCAGATTGGATTTTCTTAAAGTTGAAGATTTTTGAGTACCTCGTTCTGTTTCTTTCTAATTAATTTTTCCTTTAAATTAATTCATTAAACAATAATATATCGATGACACACTCCTGAACGTAAAATTTCTTCTTTATATCTTGTCGTTAAGTTTAAATTGAAAAACGATTGAATAATTTCAATCGCCAAACGATAGATTCTAAATTATAAATTTCCGTTTAAGAATCAATAAATCACTTCGTATCCTGCTTTCTACACTCCATAACTTCAATAAATGATTCGGCTTTCACACCCATGTACATATGTTTGATCTTACTGTGTAATCAGATTTATAGTTGTTCAAACTCTAACCAGGTTTCACATTGCCGTGTTTTCCGAAGTGAGCACGAATCGATTTGATTCGTGTCACGGGCATGTTAATCGACCACACGTGCCTCGATCACGGATTCGATTAAATCAAACATCTCTCAGTTTCACAATTTTCTGTATGGCGAATTATAGCGTAATAAATTGCCATCTTTTGCATTCTTTTTTGCTTCTTTCTTTTAAAAATTTCTTCTCTTTATGATCCATGCACTGTGATATTTTTGATGGTTTTAAAAAAAAAACAGGATTTTTCTTTCGATGATTGGGCAAAAATTAAAAATAGTAAAAAAAAAAAAAAAGAAAAGAAAAGAAAATGCTAAATGCAGAATGCTAAAAAATAGGAGTATATATTACACGTTGTTCTTCGACAACAAATTAATCTCTCGATCATATTGTTTCAGCAAAACGTTGCATTTTATTCGCCTCATATTTCCGTTATGTACACGCACGATAATTTACAAATGTACATGTAAATTTTTCTAATTATAATAAAAGAGAAAAACATGATAACATTGAATAATCTTTATATGAATAATTCATAGGTTAATTTTCACGCAGACTTGACTAACGCAAAAAGCGACGAAGAGAGAGAGAGATCACCTTGAAGAGGTATGTGACAAGATTATTATATACGGTATACAATAACTGTAACGGTACATATCACCGTTACTTCATTTCCATTCGACGATTCAAACACATTTCTATTTCACTTTCGATGCATACAATACGCCATCATTGCAAATTTCTTTGAAAAAAATTATATTCCTCCTTTCAAATATTAATTCAACACTCGTTTCAATTTCTATTTAAATTCCGTAAATTTTCTTTAACGCGAAATCCAAATTCCAAATGAAATGAATTTCTCGCTTAAATTTAATTATATAAAAAAGAAAAGAAAATTGTTCCCTCTATTGAAAGATTGATTTTATCCATTTTCCAACACAATGTTTCTGTTATAATCGATGGCGTATTTATTTACAAGATAAAAACGGAATATCGAGGGAGGATAATATTAAAATTATAAAAAGAAAAGAAAAAAACCAACCTCGAATTCACGCCTCGAAAGAATCGTGAAAACTGAAGAAGACAAACGACCGGTAAAGAGGTAGACGAATCACAGAGAAGAACCAGAGGGGGAGAGGAGGGGAGCTTAAAGAAAGGTGGAGGAAAATACGTTGCAGAGGAATAGTAGAAAAGTATACTTCTTCTACTTGGAGACAAAGATTCTCGGAGGTAGTTGAAACTCGACGATCCAAGGGAATTTTTCTCTTTGCATCATCGATCGGTGAACAAGGAATGAAATACAGTCAGCCTGGTCGTTTCCGCCGAGACGATCAACGCCCGTCTAATTCCACTGGTTCCAATCGTGTCCAGAATTCCAGGAGGGATTGTTCCAGGAGCCGCCCGCGTGCGGATTCCACGATGGAGGTGCTGGAGCGGGTGGGGCGCTCGACTGAGCCGCGGCGTTGTACAGGGAGAAATG